TCAGAGGTTTAAAATGAACTAATGAAGTCAAAATGTAATTGCAAGGGCTTTTAAAATGAATATTTCTTCAAACAGAGTCCAATTTAAGCACTGAATGAGTAACAGTTGTAGCAAATATTCTTTTGATCATGTTCACACTCTGGATGTCCTTCTTGCTTTGTTTCTGTCAGGTCTCAGCTGAGAACTCAGGAGAAACCTGACCTGGCCACAGTAGTTTACATTTACAGTTGTACTTCTAAGTCCCCTGATGTATGTGTGTGTGTGTGTGTCACAGAGATCAGACCGAATTTTGAAATGATCATTAGAAAAATTAAGAATATTACAGTTTTGCAGAGTAAAAGATGAAAACAAAGCCACATTTAAAAACTGCACCATTACTTTCAAGTTTTCATATCAAACATTTTGTCTTTAAAGCTAATCTTTTTAGCTAGTTTATTTTAAATCACATCTTGTAATTTAGACATTGTTATTCTTGCTGGAATAGGTCAACATTTTTGGAAAACATGCTTATTCGCTTTCTTTTTGAGAGTTAGATGAAAAGATTAAGACTATTCATTCCTGTGAAGTAAATGTAGTTAATCAGTGGTCAGCTTAGCACAAATACTGGAAGCAATGGACAACAGCTAGCCTGGCTCGGCCTAAAGGTAACAAAGTCTTATCAGCACCTCTAAAGCTCACAAATCAACATGCTATGTATTGTTTAAGGGCAACTTTTTATAGAGCTAATTTAGTGCCATTACTTTTATAATCTTCATCAAGGCAGTCACACCAAGGTCATCATTAAAGCATCTTGTCAAAGAGCATGAGGCATAGATATGAATGAAATTTATTTCAAAATGTGTAACTATACAAATATGACAAGAAGCCCTGTCTCCAACAAAAGTTGAATTAGTAGATGTGCCTTATAACAGTCCAAAAGGGTGTAGGCTGAAGCTACAGCTTGTTAATGCCCATTTGGCATCAACCCTTAACTTGTTACACAATTCAGATACTAAGCATCATTTATTTATGTTTTAAAAAATGTATTTTGTTTTTTCATAAATTTGCATGTAGTGCAAATTTCCAGTACAGCTGTTGAATAAATTTACCCCTCTATCTGAAATAAAATGAGTTGTTTAAAATTTATTTTTACATTGGTTTTGGACACTTTGTGATAATACTCCATTTTTAGCTTATACATAATTTGTAGCATTTTAAAATCAACTATACAGTATCTCAAAATTTTAAAGTATTTAGCTGAATACATAATGGATCCATAGGTTGACAGTAACTTATTTACAATTCTTTTGGAGTAGATAAATTAAATTTGTGTTTGTTTTGTATGTATTCTCCTGTTACTCTACACTGTAATTCATGAATGGGACTATAAGTGACCCAAATAATGTATACATTGCATCTTAATTTAAGAAATGTAATGTATATGACTGACATATTTACACAGACATTGTTAGGTGTCATGAGAGTGGAGCCATCCAGGGCTGTGTTGTTACAGACATCAGTGAAAGATCAGCAGCAGCCCGGAGATCCAGAAACTCTTCTAATGCTTTTGACTACATTTTGTTTTAGGAAAGAACAAATGATCCTCTTTCAACAGTCCTTTTTCACAAAAGTTATTTTTGCATGTCACTGTAGGTATAGAACAGATGTAAACAGCCCAGCGATGGTGGCTGAATTCTGCTGAGCTGCTCCAGTTTCCTGTACATGCTGGCTCACTGTCATGGATCTCTGGTACACCTGAATAACACCTGTGTGTCTTCCACTATGAAGAGTCTAAATGTCTACAGTAAACAAGGCCTGGTATACATTAAAAAAATATATAATTATTTTCTTCTTAGACCACTTTATAAATGAAATCCTGAAATATGGTGGTGTTCTTTCCACTAGATGGCGTTAGTGCTCTACTCAGAGTATTTAAACTTAAACGTCTCATTCAGTGATCTTTATCTAACCCAGCAGGGTGGAGCAGTTTATTTAATATAAGAGAAAACATACAGTACTGTGTGACAAACAACTTCTGTTATGAATGATCATGAGACTTGTTAATAAATATTTTGGTGATCTCCTTTTGTATACAGTTAACCATCATCTCTTTTTGAGCTAAGGAAAAACACCACCAAAGTAAATCTCACTGGTGTCTTTTGTTGCCTCTCGGCCTCCCACATTCATTTTTATTTGATATTTGTGTGCCAGATTTCTGCAGTCTTGCCAACAGCTGCCACCAACACAAAACCCAGAGGATTTTCCATGCCTGATACAAAATTGCAATCAAGTTAGGTCCCTGGGGCGAAGCTGGGTGCAGCGCCTTGGTTTGAAATGGTCTGCGGATGGCGACGCGTGCGTGCTGCCTTCCAGCATGTCGAGCCAGGAGTTTTCAAGAGGGAAACGTGGAAAATTAACTGGTACCAATTGCCAGAATGCTCATGTGACTTGCAAAATGTGGGAGGAATGCTGAGGACAGCATTCCAGCAAATGCACTGACACATGATACTCAGTTACAGTCACATCATACTGATCCATGATGTTTTTCTTCTTTACTGTTTTTGGAACGCCACAAACTATATAACCACTCAAGGTCAGATATGATAATAAAACAATTACAGTGAGTTTCAGGGCTGTTATTGAGAGGGAAAGAAATCCCCCTAAAGCATTTGAAAATGTGTTTAAAAGCAGCATTTTTGGACAAATGATCGTCAGTCTAATGGAGGGACATTCATACAGAGGAGCAGAGATAACTAATTTTCCAAACAGCAGTCGTCTCATTAGAGCAAACACTTTATCTCACTCAGGTGTTTTTAAAACAGCTTTTTCTAAACCTTTTAGCCTTCTGTCCACAGACAAACGGTGTTTTAGGTCACTTAAAAAGGGGCTTTTGGAAAACCTTATCCAGGGTGATGGTATTCACAATCTCTATTTTCACTGTTGACAGGCGATATTGTGCAGTGGCTAACTAGTGATGCTTGTAATATTACAAACCAGGCTTTTAGTGTGCCTACACTTAGATACACACTTACTCGCCCACTATGTGGAGGAACAGAGGCATCAGAATGCACTGTAGAGATCATTGGTACACTCAGCAACACTCCCACAATGATCCACTGTATTATACAAACCTCAACGCCAACAGAGCCAGTAATAACTTTTTCAGGTTTCTGATTGACTAACATGACCGAATAGTTAACTGGCTGTTGGCTTAACACACCCCGGACAGCGTGTTTTTGTGTAGGCAGGATTGTACCTTTGGTCAGATTTTTTTCATGGGCTGTCAAAAACAAACTTAAGGAAATAAAAGATGGGTATCCACATTAGACTTGTAAATTATTAACATTTTGCCTAACTAAAGGAAAAAGTAATTTATAAATGACAACTTAACAAATCAAATGCAACCAAACCAAAAGAGCTGAAGCTTTAGCAGGTGAAGTAGTGTTCTTTCATAAAATTAATAAAATCCAATAGTATTACTAGGTCACAAAAGGGCTATTTATCAGTACTAATGGTGGTGATTAAATTTCACCAGCAGCTGATGTGTATCACAATATCTGATGGAGCATTCTTCCTTCATGCGGGGCCGCAGGGTCTGCTAAGGCTGCTTTTAAAAGGCCAGTTCTAGTCGATGCTGGTTTGGCTTTCTTGTTCATAGTCAATGAATCAGATATTTTTTTATTACCTCCGAACCACAAAAACTTCAAGGATTTCATCTGTGGACACTGTGTGCATACTGTGCTCAAACACAAGCGCCCTCACTATTTGTCTTGTACATTGAATGTTAAAACACTAAAGTATAGAGCATCTACTATAGAATTTGTTGTTGTTTTTCCAATTATTGTAGCAGAAATCAGTGTAGGTCCCTTTTTGTATTTTGTATTCCAACAGGAAAATATTCAAGAATACAGTACAACTGTGAGTTTGAAATAATATTTAGTAATAATATTAATGCCCATTCAATTTAGCAAAGAGAAACTGTTTGTTCTTTTATAAGATCTTTCTAGAGCGGGTGAATGTTGCATTCATGTAATGTTGGCAGAATGGGAGGAAAACCTATTATTCCACCCTGGGAAAGCTTTTGCAAATCTATTCCACTGATAGTTTTGTAGTGACACCATTTAATAGCCTAAACCTTAGCTCCGCTGCTTTTGTTAACATGTGAACCAGATAATCATGCGGTTTCTCACAAATGTAATGACTCGGTTGTGACTAGTGAATTCTAGCTCAGTGGGAGACATAGCAGCTGTTAGGAATTCAAAATATTTTCAACAAAATTACAATTTAGAGGCTGATGTAAACAGTTTTTCCAGCCGCCTAGCCTTATGTAGCTATTAGAAGTGTCTAATTATTTTTTTTTTATTTGTAGAATTGCATTATGGATCAACAGTGATAAATGAAATCTGTACATTTAGTATGTAAACTATGTCACTTTTTAATGTGAGCATTAACCTGCTTAGAATGAGTATGTAGTGTGAAAATGAGACATAATATTGTTATTATTGTTCTCTGACTTGATTTTTGACTGTCAGTATCAGTGCTCTCTCACCCACCACATATCTCTTATGTATGCATCTGAAGGCACAAAAAGCAGCTCAGGCTTTTTGTTCTTGTCCATGAAACCCAGTGCTGATTGTGTGAATCCTCCTCTTTCATTGGTCCCCCCCCCGACCTCTGACCTATTTTCAGCCCTGCACAGAGAGGAGGGCATAAACACCGCAGTCTATGTAGGTCAGCAAATGGCCCTTGGTGTCACTTGCAAACCATAAACAGATTGCGAATCCATGAGAGTGAGTGTATGTTAGGTATAAGAGCACAACTAACTAATTACAGGGTTGATGTGCACTTGATGGCATGTCACTGCACTGGGGGAAATTCCATCTGCTGCCAATGCGTCTTCATGTTTCATTCTTGTTTGGCCATCCATATGATTTATTTGTTATTCACATGTGTTACAGTACACAATGTTCACACTAATGAAGACTTTTATTTTAAATGATGCATCTTAAAGGCCTTCTGTTAATACTTAAAGTCTGCCTAGAACATGAAACATGGACAGGTTTGTTGAAGCAAAAGTTAATTTTAGAAACATTAACAGCTTAAAGCTGCACTGAGCTGTTTTGACCACTAGGAGGCCAAGAGAACCCAAAACAAACTCCACACAACAATTATTGACATTGGTTGCTAATGGTTTATGTTATAGAGTATTCCAACAGAAACAGCGTAATCTGGGAATCCCATTGAATTCCTTCAAAGCCACTAGTCACTTGGTTTTGCTCTGGTTTTAGTTCATCATCTCCTCAGAAAAATACTTTGGCCAGTTCACACTATTCAGGTAGTGCAGTGAACAGGCAGAGTGTGTGACTTTTGGTGCTGGAAGCAAAAGCACGTCATCACTTGTTTCTTTCCTGATAATGCAACCCTAAATCTAGTCAGTGTGTCCCAAACCTATTGGCACATGACCTTTATAAATCATCACTTTACGTGACACCAGTCATATTGCATTTCCTTGCACTTTTCAGGAAATGAATATTGTCAAAACTGTGTAGTTACATATCAACTCATCTTCAGGAAAATATGAGAAATGAGAATATTCTGCTAGGCAGTAAAAGACCTGTCAAACTGTCTAAAATGCCAAAACAAGTTGCACAAAACTTCAGACAGTAGTGTTGATTCTCATTAGGACTGAAGGTAATAGTGACTCCTTTACATCAGTGGAGGCCATTTAATTCAGAGTTGGCATCAAAACACATTGTTTGGCTCCACCAGCTTTCACATCATTGTAATAATGTACATACCTTGGACTCATTGAGGCTTAAAAGTCTGAAATAATATTCGGTGTACAGTGTCTTTGTGCCTCTCACATCCCAGTTACACACCAACTAGAACGCAACTTAATACCTGTGGTTGGCTCATTGATCAGCCTCTCAGGCAAACAACTGCTGTCGCTCATGATTTTGCACTGCAAATGTGTTGGGTTCGTGTAGTTTGACACAGATTTAATGGGCAGCAATGCCTCGAGGGGTGGGAGCATTGATGCTTCAGTGCTTCAGCTAACATCACGGACATTGGATGACCAGCCTCTTTATGACCACTGTGCGACACTCCTGATCCAGCCAGCCATGGCTTTATGGTGGGGCTCGAAGCTGGGGAACAACAAGCACTCTTAACATCCACTGGTGATTGTCAGCACATTTAACCACAAGCATACACACACATATCACAAACTTCTCCTAACTTAAATTCTAAATATGAGAAAAACTCTTTTGTTACACCTTCTAATAATCAGATTGTAATTTTAAAGTTGTTAAAACTTCAACTAAAGCATTTTGTTTTACTATAGCTACACAAAAATGTCCTGTAGCTGTTACTTGTAATTACTTCTCTCTGCAGTCTTGAAAATGAGCCTATAAACCAACTGTGCCCACGGAATCACATCAGGAAGCACAGGTGACTGAGAAGTGACAGTAAGTGCATGAAGACCTGCAGATTCTTTTACACTGTCATCACCTCTTGTTTCCTCCAGGACACCAGAGACGCTTGTTCTCATCTGCAGGTCTTAACACCAGCCACAGTCGTCAATGTCTCTCGTGGTAACAGGAAAGGCAGCGTGTTGACAGCGATCGATTTTAATGTCAGCAGCTTCACAGCATCCTCATGAGGAGGAAAAGCACATCATTTGTGGAGAGTCAGACTGAAGAGAGAAGAGCTATGATCTCAGAAATCACATTGTGACACAAAGCTTTTTCAAGAGAGTCTGTGGGGATGTTAACAGTAAAACTCCAGTGAGCAAACAATTCGGTGTTAAACCAGATTTAATGTAATTTTTATGGCATTTAATTAACCACTATTGAAGAACAATAATATCACAATAATGTAATTAATTTCTTTTTAATGCCTCTTATTCCTTGAAACATGAATACAGGATTATTTTATTTTGTTATATGGACAAAAATGTTTCAGTTTTCAACAAAGATTAGTCACCAGAGCTGATAATAATGTTATGACCAAAATTAAAACTATCTATATGTACTGTGTGTAGACTGTTAATTGCATAAAAATAACCTTCCTATAAAGTTAATACAAAATGTGAAGCTTATTTTTAACTAATTTGTCTTCTACATACAGTCTGTGCTTTCTACATTGCACAGAATATGGTCTAGGGTCATTTACAGTGCACAAATATAATACAAATACCATTTCGTACACATGGCTGTTTGCTAAGCCCCCAAGCTAATGCTAATGTGAAAACTCAGTGAGTTGGTTGAATAGTCCAGTGCAACTGACTTTTGTCAATGAAATGAGGAGCCTATGAAAAGGGTCTTGAAGATGCAAGTGATGGTCACATACACAATAAATGGTAAATCCTGAAAACTAAGGCTTTGTTCCAAATAGTTAGCATTCTCCGCAGCCCATAGCAGCACTGTCTGTGTGTATTGCACGGGTGAGATATTATGGTTCTCTGTAAAAAGTAAAAATGTAATTAACCTTTGGATTGTTTGGGTGATTATGGAAAAAATACCTGTCAGGTAACAACACGCTGGTAAGATTCATGCTAATGTTTATATTCTCAAACACTACACTTAACTCTTATAAGGGATGAGGATTTGACAATTAATAACTGTCATATACTAGTGTCTTGGTTCCCACAGGACAGAGTTTCAGTCTTGAGTAAATATTTTTGTAATATCACCTGTAACAACTGAAAATAATGTAGTTAGCTACCGACATGCCCCTTGCCTTTTGGAAGTGTTTCCAGCTCTCCATTTCTTACACTTCAGTGATTATACTCACAGTTGTAATAAAATAAAAAGTGTACTGTCCATAAGTCAACAGCACGCAGTAGCAAGGTGTGTGTTGCTTTTCAAAGATGTTAAAGAAGATCAATATCATTTAAAAATGCAATATAAGAGCTCAAAGGGATTCTCTAACTTACATGACAGCTTCATGTTGTGTTACACACAACAAGACATCGGCATGTTCCCCACTGTGTCTTGGAAGCGCTCTTAATAAAACATGAGTCTGACTCTGTGCCAGCAGTAAAACATCATTTCTCAGTTCCCCAGATTATTTTTAATCTGCTCAACAGTTACTGCTGTAGCGTGAGCCTCCTAAACTTTTTTGGATGAAGCTGCCAGTTATTCATTACCCTCCTGCTCATTTAAAAAAAGACACCCAGCCACATTAGAACTAAAGGGCTAGTCTACTGCTAAGAAAATGATTTTAATCACTTTTATATTATGATTTAGTAAAGCCCCTGGTAGCAAGTAAAGTTTGCAGAAAGTTTTAGTATCTTATAAATGTTTAAAGAATCATCAAAATGGTTTTTTAAGCATTGCAAAAACCTTTGAAAAATTAATGCTGTGAAACCTGCTTTAAGTAAATAATAAACACTTAAATAAACATTTAAGAAGTTAAGGGGATATACTGTATGTGTGTGTACTCAGTGAGGAGAGTAGATTAATCTAGAGAAGAAGAAGTTGTAGAATAGTAGAGTAGACTGAAAAGTATAAAATAAAATATAGTAGAATAGAATAAAAGAAATAGAGAAATGTGCCATCTTTAATTATACATGGTTTAGTTTTACTTTAATAGAAATCAGTCCTAAGACATTTATCTTCCATCTGGTGATTTTTCAACATTGTCACTTAACAGATCCTAATGTGACACACCCCTGTGAATTTATTAATTTATTTTGTGAATTTTTTTTATTTTTCTTTAATATATACTGAATATCAGACTGCATAGAGTTGGATACACCCACACTACACAGTTTCACACACACACACACACACACAAACTAAACTTAATGATATGTTATTTTCTATGTTATGTCCTTTGTCCTGTAAATTGGTTAGTTTGTGTTGCAATAAAAAAAAAATGTGATGCAACACAAAAATCTGTGGTTGCTTTCTAACACCCAATCAGAAGTGCCTCAGGTATGTCAATGTTACAGCGCAGATAACCTACGGTACCAGTGCTACTACCACACCACATTTTATTAAACACACAGTTATGTGACAACGCTGTAGCTTACACAGGATTTTATGTTTCTTTTCAACAAACAACATACAAAATCAAGCTTTAAAACCGTCAACATACATTAGAAACATGAGTGTGTACACATCAAGAATGACTGCATTCCCTTTAGAATATCAACTTACAGGAATGAAGCAGAGTTACTGTATCATTATTAGCTGCACCTGTGCGTTTTTCTGCTATGACAGATCAAAATGTCTACCATGAAAAGGTCTATTGAGTCAGTGCTGGTAGTATCACAGCCTGTGGCGCTCACTCGTTCAGCTTTGCTTTGAAAAACCTCCTCTAAAACCTGCTTGAAGACGTGTTTTTGTTCGCCATGGTTTTCAGTGAAAAACAGCATCTATAAAAAGCCCTCACAAATGCTACTGTATATTCAACTCTGCTGCACAGCCAACTGACAGGGTTGTTTGGTGGAAGCATGGAATTATGGTATTTTATGAACTGGATCCAGTATCCAGTTCATAAAATCTGCTGCCTGTTGACTGCAATAAAAGTTGCTCACCAAGCACTTTTTTAGAAAACCCACATTTGAACTTGTTTTGTCATTAATTCTGAAAAATGAATTTATTCAGTCATCACACATAATAGAATAAGTATAATCAGCATGTACAATTTTAAATATATTAAGTACAAACAATACAGTAAATAAATAAAAAATGAACAGTATGTATTAAGTGGTGACTGAAAGGGATCAAGCAGAAGCAGTGCTAACACACACCCAGCGCACATTATTTAAGATACTCTCCAGAAATCAAAATCAAATTTAGAAATCATTAAATATATTTCAATTTGTTCAGCCAATTGAAAATGACATTGGAGGACTCTGAGGGAAAAGACAGCGAGACAGCTTCAAACTCGGCCTGGTGTTTGTGTGTATGGGGATGTCAACACTGGTGAAGTAGTTTCAGCTGAAAGACTGAGGGTGGCACAGTAGCTGCATACACCAATAATCTATTTAGTATGCTGAATTACTCTCAAAATATACCAGAACAGATTACCTAAATCACTGGAACACAAAGCAATATATTTTCCTGTTACTTATGAAATTATTTGCCTCCAGGAAAGAAAACAAATATGCAAGTGAAGTCATCTTTTATTCCAAGCTGTAGTCCCTGAGAAATTTTATTGCACTTGCATGCATGCTTTTCTTGAATATTTCTACGTGTATAACTATATTTCTCTCTATGTTCTCACCAGATTGCTAATAAGTCACATTTACAGCACATCTGCCTAACATAATCTGTTATTTTCTTAACTTGGAAGCATATCTGAAGCAAATATGAAGATTCCTCTGACTTCAGACCTCAGGCTTTCCCATGACCAGTGCAGCTCAGCCCTCACTGTCCATTATAGATCCTAACAAAAAGGTGAGAATCCACTCACCCGTAAATATTACTAGCTCAGTCATGAAAACAGCAACCGCATGGCAACCGCAAGTGATAGTGAGAGTCAGTCAGAGATCCGGAGCAGATCAGACTGAGGCTGAACTCTCCTTACCTCACCACCTGACATTTGTCAGCAAAAATTATATATATATATGGTATTGTCTAAAATTTGAAAAAAAAATGTATGCAAAACAGCAGTCATCCCTGTCTTCCCCAAGCATGCGAAACAGCAGTCATCCCTGTCTTCCCCAACAAATACTGTGTTGCTTTAAATGTACACATATAAAATATTTATATTCCATTGAGAAGCTTTTCCAGACATCCTTTTCCTCGAGCACTGTTTATTATATCCAGATTAGATTCAGTTTTCATCAGTGTGCAGCAGTTTTTAGTGCACACCAATCTGAATCATGAGTGTTTGTGTAAGTGAGTGAGTGAATGAATGAATAAATGAATAAATAAATAAAAATCTTGTGGACAAAATTCATGTTTCCTCACGAACAAATCAAGGTCTTTTATTAACGTGTGAGTGTTAAGAATTTAGATGATCCAGACCATGAGGCTGGCTTGGCCCTAAATAGGATGTAACAGCTCTCTGAAGCTAAGAAACTGAGAACTTGTATTAAGGTCCCACATTGTGTAACAGTATGTGTGTGTCTTAAAAGTTTTTACAAATGCAGGTACAAACTATAAGGTTTCTCTGAGGTTGGCTATAGCCACACTATTTCAATACTCCACAAACATGGCATATAAATCATTCAAATCAAATCTGTGGTTCTGCTGCATGGCCGCCAACTTTTAAATCTCATTGCTACCCCCAGAGCTGCTCACACACATGACTCTGTGTGAGGTCAGAATCACAAAGTTATGTGTACGGGGTGGGGGTGTGACGATCCACCTAGCTCACAAAATGAGACAATACACAAAATTGGGTTCATGAGAACGAGATGAGACTGAAAGTCACAAAATGCAGAACATTTTGAAATGTTTTAACTGATCATGTAATGAAGTCTCTTCAGATCTCAGAACTGTACATGAACTATGCCTGAGCTTCTAACGTTTAACTGAAGCTGTGTGTGACCATCTATGGTGTTTTCACCTTGATTGATGGTGACCTCATCCAGCAAAGGCGGTGCACTGACCAATCACATATAAGACATGATCGGGATGTGGACGCCCACGGGAAGAGGACTCTTTTGTTTACCTTATTAGCATGAGCATGAGCAT